ACACAAGTACGTGTTTCGTCCAATGTATTAAAAAAGATCCATCACCATAAGAAAGGATTACTAGTTTAGCTTCACAGAAAGGATTTCTGCACATGACATTACCGAAAACTAAAAAGAGATGCTGACTGAAGGTAAGTCAGAAGAACCACGCGAGAAGGACAATTGAGTGTGCAACAAAACAGAGAAGTTATCATCATATAGATAAAGAGACTTAATAAGAAGGATGAATGAGTCTGGTACATGTATCACAATCTAGGGTCCATCCCAGAAACTATATAGGTCAATATAGAAAGGCCAAACATGCAAACTAGTAACATTAAAATTAGTTAAACAACGTCCATAAATAAAATTCTCAGGCTTGGAAGAAACACACATGCAAGTTATGCATTCCCTTCAAAGCGATAATTGTCTCCCAAGTCACTTTCTTTTTCCAGTTTCACCTAGTCAGAATTCTATTCCTTCCATATCCTAGCCTCTAAACTCTGACGCCATGTGCCAATGTAGATAAGCTGGACAAAAGGTCCATTGAATTGTTACACTAACAAAGGTAGTAATCCACTCAATAACCATCGTATTAAAAAAAGGTACTCCAGTAAATAACTCCATTATCAGCAATTTTATCTCTCACTAAGACCTAGAGAGAATATCATAAACAGATAAGCCTATAGCACCCAATGTTATGTTGACCTTTGAGTTCCAATCCTAGGAATCAATTCCATGAGACACTTAAAATGATGAAGCCAAAAGAAGTCCATAATTCTTCTTAAGACAACAAACTAACATCAAGGTTAAAGAAATGTCTCTGTCAGAGGAAAAAAAAAAGCATAAAACATAGATAGACACTGAAACTTGGCCTCAATTTCCAATCAACACTCCAATAGTGGAAGTGCACATCTAGACACCTAAACTCCTATCCACTACGTCAATTGAACACTCCAACTCAAAGGCGAATCTAGGATTTCTACAATATGAGTGCACCACTAAAAAAAAGAAGGAAGTGAGAGTTGATCCCTAGTCCTCAAGGTAAATAACTCAACATTCAACCAACTACACCATTTAACCTTCCTGTAGCAGGGGCGCCAACAGATAATAATAGACCAATTTTACAAAATATTTACATAAAATAATTAGTTTTACGGGGAGACCATGGGTTCACATGCCCCATATTTTACATGTAAATTTGCCCCTGGTCCAACTTACAAAATGAACATCTACACACCACCAAAATTCATGGGTCACATCAACGTGGAGTGTCCACAAGATCAGTGGGACCGAATTGAGGTGTCTAGATGTGCACTCCAAAGTTGGAGGAGGCCAAGTTTGAGTGTTATCCAAGTGTTTAGCCAAAAAAAAAAAAAAAGGTCTAAAATTTTCAGTTAAAACAACTTCAGTTTGCATAGAACATACAACAGATGGAAAGCGAATTAGTACCCTACTAGGTTCAACAAGAAAAGAGGACCACAGTCCACAGACCCAAACGGACCAAAGCCAAACCAAGAAGAAATCAAACACTATTGTCTTTTTCTTTTTTACCCCTCTCTCCAGGAGCTCCTACCTTTTTGCTCGCTTGGTGACCCGAACCCCCAAACTTAGAATTGGAGGAGGTGTTGGGTGTTTACCATTTGAGCGACCCCTCTTGTCAAAATCAAACACTATCAATATCACAACTGACACAAAACAGAGTTAAACGGTAAATATAAAAGAAAAAAAGAGTTTCTATTACAGAATCCATAATGACAAAGCAAAAGATATTACTGGCATAACTCACAGAAGCAAAATCATGGCCAGGAAGCACGTCGCCAATTTTTGTTAATGCGAGATTTAAAGTCATTTCACGGCTCTGCTTCAAGAACTCACAGGCTTCAGCCGCTTTTGCTAAGGCAGTGGTTTGATCCTCTGCAGTCACAAATGGAAGAATTGGGGCTTCACCCCACCCAACACAGCCATTACTCAACTCAATCCTTATAGCTACGTTTTCCACTTTGTCCAATCTTGATGATGCAATAGTAAAAGGAGCAATCAGTGGCACATTCAGTGGCCTCCCTTCCGCTTTATGAACATCAATTGTCACTGTTTCCATCAAATTCTTGAACCCAAAGCTTGTCGCTGTAGGTGCCACCGCCGGCGTCGCTGCCGCCATGCAGGCTGTAACGACTTTGGGGTTCTTGAAATTGGGGGTAAAGTTAGAAACTTTAGACAATTGGGTGTGTAAAGAAGTAGTAGAATGAAGGAAACAGTGAGATTGGTAGTTTTGAGTAAGCCCAATACGATCCATCTTTTATGAATTACAGTAAATAGTGAATTTGAGCTTCACTGATTGGCGTTTGGACAGAAAAGGGAAGATTTCAAAAAATGTCATAGTGATTATCGACCAACTTTGTTCTTATAGTTGTCCTCTGCTGACACTGTGATTGAAAGACTGATAGGTTTATTTTATTTGAAAAAAAAACGATAGTCATGTGGGAGAATTTTGGAAAGCTTTTGTCGTATGTACTTTGTTTTGTTATATTGGAATAGAAGGATTGGTGGACGATACAATAGAATACTAAACAACATTTCTATCGATTGTATAGTGTATGCCGATTTTATCATTATTGTAGGTAGAAAAATTGTTTGAGGTGTGAATTCAAAAGAATCAGATGTTGATGTGAGTTATCCAAGAGAAATCAAAAAGAAAGATAGAACTATTTTTATTTTGAATTAAATAATTTAAAATTATTGAATTTTTCAAAATAAGATTCAAACTTACGATTAATAATGACTGCTCTATTATTGAACTATTGAGAAATAATAGGAAGAAAAATTGATTTCACAAAGTTTAATTTATATTTTCAAATTCATAAATAATATGAGCTTAAAGTTTTCTTTGTAACTTCCCCTCTTGCATTAAAATTGAAGTCTTTCTTTACTAGTATATCTTAAGTTATTATAATATTAAGAACGGATAAAGATGGAAAAAAAAAATTGTTAACGTATTGAAAATGATTTAGAATTGATCTTTCATAATTATACTTGATGTTGATTTTCGGATTAAAAATACCCCTCCTACTTATTGGACTTCAATTGCCCATTATAGTTAAAAATGTCTTTCCCTTTTAACGAAATTACAAGATAATCTAAGTGGAATTTTAATTAAATAAGTGGTATTGATTTATTAGCCAATATAGATATATTAAATCAACCAACAAATAATCCGATTCATTCAAATTCATTTGTTAAGAATTGTTGAAGCTGAAAGAGACATTTTTAGTTTGAAATTTAAGTAAAAAATAATTAGGGTATAATAAGTGAAATGAGAACAAATTTGAACAATTTTTAATACGTAAAAGCTAGGAACTTCTTTTTTAACCATTTTCTATATTCAAAATCAAATTATTAGATTTTGGAGTGTGATGATGGTATTAGATAAATTGAGGTTCATTCATTTTCAACGAAAAGTTGAAATTTAAAGAATAGATTATTACAATCAAAAACATGTTATTGGTGTTTTAGTGATTTTACTAAGTGAGTTGAACTTAGTCGAATAAGTAAATTTTCCAAAATATGATTGATTAAGAAATATCACACTGTATATAATCTCACATCAATGTACCTAGCTAAGATCCAATCACAATTCACAACCAAGTAAATGAGGAGTCTATTTTTAATTAAACATGACAGCTAGCATGTTTAACATCCTTAACACCTAATTAGTAATATTTTTCTACGAATTTAAAACACATAGGGCCTCGTGAGAGTGGTCCAACATGATACTTAACATTAATTAAAACTTTATATTATAAGATGTCTCTTGGATATTTCCTAGGGTTATTTCCCCATTGATTCTACAGTTAATATCCCTATTTGATCTCCAAAGGGTGATTCCACTAATGCCTTCTTCTTAAGCTAAGTTCTTGTCTTGCTTGAAAAAAAAATCGATTTTTTGATACTCCAAACATCAATGACATAATGCGGAGGCAGATTCAAAATTTAATGAGTGAATATAGTTATTTAAATTAATATAGAATAATAATAATTTTTAATAGATTTCTTAATATATAACACTAAGTCTAAAGAAAAATTATTAAATTCTCAAAAACCTTTTTGCAAAATGTTGTCTTTATTAGTGTATGCACTCTTTTTAACACAACATGAATCTAGCAAGACACATGCAGCTTCAAATTGGCCAACAAAAGCAACAGTTTTTTTTTAATGCAACTAGACTATTTTGTAGGTTAAAAGAGTCGGTTTGAATTGACAGTTTAAAATTAAAGTAGTTTGGTAGAGTTTTATTAAAATAAAATAAATATTTAAAGAACTTATATTTTAGCCAAAATCAAATGAACCAAAAGTTATAAATTAAAAATTATAACTTATGACTTATAAATTCTAAGCTCATTCAAACAGAATTGGTAGAATATTTGAAACTAAGGAAATCAATTTCTTAATATTTGTCTAAGGCATGCTTAACGCATGTTAAAATCACACAATTTTGCTCAAGTGTTACAAATGAATTACTAAATTATTATTTTTGTGACAAAAAATATTTTTCATTCAATTTTGCCTAAGTATCATATAAAACGTAACTCTTTTTTCCTCCTAATGACTTTTTATAATACTTGGGCAGTGACCTTTAATTAGTTACATAAAATAATTTGGTGACTTTCGTGATACTCAGATAAAGTCGAGGTGATACCTTCATTCTCAATTTGATCTAGCCATGGCCACATGCAATTTTAAGTGAGAAACTCATATTGTTAGCCTTTTGTAGCCACATGTAATGTACATAATGCTTTCAAAAAAGTCTAAGATGAGATGCTAAAAGTTTGTCAAACGAAAAGCATAGAAGATGCAGGGCACTAACAGTAGGTGCAATACAAAGTTAAACAGATGCAAACTCTATGCTCAAGAAATTCTTTTCTTCCCCTTTTTTTCTACTTTCTTGGCTACGAAGCTTAGTACCAAAATTGACTTATTTAAACTTATTAGCTAAGAATCGATTTACGTACGGAGAGACGTTTATCAGAATTTCATAATCATGGCAACTTATTCATCTGATTCTGATAATGATTTTGCACCTACATCAAAACTCTTAGGCCGCCAAAGGCCTATTCATTCTGTTTTAGGAGGAGGAAAAGGTATCAATTTCAATTTTGTACGTATATTTGACTTGAGTTCGTTACAGGAAATGATAAACTTTAAATCATGAATCTGCCTCTACTGCTAATATGAGTAGTAATAGAAAAGTTGTTATAACATTTCAAATGCTGGATTTCACTTTTTTATCTTTTAAAAATGACTTTTTGGGTTAATTAATTTGCAGTTGCGGACATATTGTTATGGAGAGACAAGAGATTTTCAGGCGCGATTCTTATCGCAGTTGCAGTAATATGGTTTCTTTTTGAAGTTGTGGATTATACCTTTGTGACTCTGCTTTGTCATGTTTCCATCACCACTATGTTAATTGTCTTCATCTGGTCTGCTGGTGCTGATATGTTTGGCTGGTAATCCTCTTATTTTCCATTCCTATGAATGAATATATATACACACAGAGACGGATTCAGGATTTAAATTTGATCAGTTCAGCTTTTATGTTCTTAGCACTAAACTCATTACACTTTTGAAATTATGAGTTCAGGATCTTGATTTAGTATGTTTATTCTCGAAAACACTAGATTCAGTTGAGTTGAACCTTTTGATTATATACTACATTCGCCTTTGTATATATGTATTATTTGTTGATTATTCATATAACATGTGCAGGACACCTCCAAGCATTCCCAAAGACATATTACAAGATACTTCATTTGTTGAAGTTGCTTCAATATTACACAAGAAGTTCAACAATTTCCTCTCCATATGTCACTTTGTAGCATGTGGAAATGATGCAAAATCCTTCTTTTTGGTATATTATGAATCAAATAATTTACTTAATCATGTCCTTCATTTCAATAGATTTATAATACATAAGTAAATCAATGCTAAATTTCATGTTTTAGGCCATCATTTCTCTCTATTTATTATCAGTGATTGGAAACTATATCAGCACTTTGAACCTTTTGTTCTTTGGTAAGTTTACTTAGCTATTTCTCATTCTTCTATTAGAAACATAAGTCTTTTTTTTTTATCCATTAATGTTAATTAAACTTCTCTGTAATTGTTCACAAGGCTTGTTGTGTGTGGAAACTCTCCCATTTCTTTACGAGCGATACGAGGAAGAAGTCGACTATGTTGCATATAAAATGAAGAGACAAATGAGAAAAACTTACAGGAAGTTCAATGCAGATTTTCTAGGAAAAATTCCCAGAGGACCAACCAAAGAGAAAAAGGGTAAATAAGTTGGAAGCACAAAACATGGAAGTGGACTAATGTTGTTTTGTTGGATATCCAAAATAATGTACTAGTAATTTGCAATTTGATCAATGTACAGTAATTCAATAGCACACCTTGTAAAATGTATTTGCAGAACTAGTCAAAATTTCAATGATAGAATGTGAAGTTAACAATGGGAAAAAGGAACAAAAAGTTGTAACTAATTAATGGATAAGAATTTTGACTTTAGTAGTGACAGAAGCACTGACGATTGATGAATTCTATTTCTGGCGAAGGAACAGATTAAAAAGTAGGAGCATAGTGTGTTGCACGTTGTGAGTTAGGAGTACGTCGTTATGATGTAAAACTTAAGTGGAGAAAGATAGAAAAGTATACTCATTATTCATTGAATTTTGAACCATACACGGTGGCCTTAGAAAATTTATTGATTAGTATAAGACTAAATTAATTAAATTGATAAACACTAAGAGAGAAATATAGAAAAAGAGAACTTTAATGTTTCCACATATATAGTTTGTGTGTCCTTTATGGAAACCACCATGTTACTTATTAAATCAACCTCAACAATGAAGCTTGTGACAAATTCTGTAGGCATGTTCTCTTTTAGTAAAATATAACTGAATTATTGCACTAATTTGAATTTCCACTATCTAAGGATTAGATCGCACTAATTATTACAACCTACCCAAGATGAGTATTAGCAAAATATATAATTAATTATTTTAATTTGATACAAATCATGTACTCACTATATGATTAACTTGGCAACAACATGCATACCCAATGTAATCTCACAAGTGGATCTGAGGAGGGTAGTATGTACGCAAACTTTATCCCTACAAGGTAGAGAAGTTATTTCCAATACATTCATATGGTCGTATTATGGGGTAAGGTTTGCGTATAGTTCATCCTCTCCCAACCTCACTTGTGGGATCACATTGAGTACGTTGTTATTGTTGTTGTTTACATGCATTATGGAAGGCTTCAAATCGCATGAAGCCAAGTGGACTTAGCTAAGGACAGAAGACAATGAAAAGCAAAGCGTATAAACAATACTAATTAGTTGCAATTAAGATCTAAGTATTATAATAATTAAACTACATTAAGTTTGGTAGGGACTAGTGTTAGATTTGGAGAACCTCTCATTTGAAGGATAGTATAATTTAACAGTCCTTGAATGAAAAGGGTCCAAATAGTGCATAAGAGAAAATTCATATAGCGGCTATCTGGGGTAGGTGATAAATGCCTTTTTATTCTTAATTAAAGGTTTCAGATTCGAACTCGGGATGTAACCATAAGGGTTTTTTTCAGGCGCAAATCTGAATTTTTCAAGTCTCAGTGATTCTGAACCTAGAATGAGAGAACTAAAAGATGAAAATTCAAATTTAATTTGGAATTGAGGTGTCATACTAATGGACTCATTCTCACACATCATAGAAAGGGACAAAGAAGAGTGGGATTCTGAAAACTCAAAATCCAACTCTTGATAGTGGCTGTGTGTACCCACAACATATAAATAAAGTTGTGATTGTGAAAAGTTATAGAGAAGACTTTGTAGTGAATTTGGCCTTTGCAACAACTATATATAACTTCTCCACAAAAGAATAACACAAGAAACATATTAAAAAGGGAAAAAAAATGGCAAGGGAATTGAGTGTTTTGATTGATGGAGAAAGATTTGGAAATGTTGGCACTAATATTTTGCTAACATTCATGGGAATTTTGGCTACGATTTTCGCCGTAACGTTTGTAATCTTGTCATGTGCACAAGGGATGCCAAGAGATAAATCAGCAGCAACAGAATCAAGTGCCTACGAAGGCGCCGTATGTGCAGCAGGCTGTGGTGCAGGTTGTGGTGCTTGAATGTGTAGGAGATTAAGAATCTTGGATTCAGAATGAGCGTGATGATCACCTAATTTAGAATTTATAGTCGGTGGAGTCAGAGTTTTAATTTTTTTAGCATATGTATACCTCTAGATCAATCGGAAAATAAATGAATTTCATTTGAACCTACAAAACTCGTTCTAAATGTACCTCAACCTGAATGTATTTTTTGTCATAGCAAGTCTCTAGTAATCATGCTAAAGATGAAAGTAATAGAGAAATCCCCAAAGTTGGTAGTCTAAAACTTTTTTTTTTCTTCTTTGGTGGTGGGTCAAGCTTTAGTACTATTTCTTTCAGTCCTCTTAACTTTTTTCCCTTCATTTCTTTAAGCTCAAATTTATCAATGAAGTGCTGTCATTTGTTTGAGGTCAGACACTCAGACTAAAGAGTACAAGAAGAATTGAATACCATTTTTTGCTGATTAAAAAAATAAAGTTATTCTCAATAGAGCTCATACTGTTCCTACACAACTATGAGTTATTTTACTTGTATATATTTAGCTCCAATCATCCAGTGACAACCAAGAATGTAAAATTCAAAATAAAATTGGATGCAGACTGTATTATATTATGTACTTATTGAAAATATATAGTATATTGTCAAGATGGCCGAGTTGGTCTAAGGCGCCAGTTTCAGGTACTGGTCCGAAAGGGCATGGGTTCGAATCCCATTCTTGACAAGAACTTTTTATTTTTCCAGATTTAACCATCAATGCTCAATTATGGACAAAATTCACTGTGTTTAGCTCAGACTCTCTATGCATAGATTTAACCATCAATGCTCAATTATGGACAAAATTCACCGTGTTTAGCTCAGACTCTCTATGAATGTCAACGCCACCGATGGAAGGACAAGAAGAAAGATGAGAACTAGGAGGATCAATGCTACTACTTTGTATGGCTCTATCTTGTAATCATTTGACTTGAGAAAGTCATAACGATATCTGGAGTGATGAGCATAGTATTTAACTTTAAAATGTTCCAACGAAGGGTGTTGTTTTCTCTTTAGTGCATCCTTTTTACTTTCTCGTGTCAACAGATTGAACCTAGCTAACATTGTTTATCTATACCTTCTCACCACAATTCTCAGAATCAGTTACTCAGTGGAAACATATTTGATGATTCCCTCCACACGTTAGAACTTATGAGTTACAATACAGCTATGAATTCCATTATTCCCAAGTGAAAATTAAGTTACACGGATAAAAATAACTAAAAAGCCGGGCACAACATCTAGAAAAATCACATCCCAAACAAGTGTCACGGTTCACACACTACCAACCTTGCTTAGCAGACAACTTATAGGACTTTTAAGACAATGGACTAGAACTAAGATAGCAAAAGCAGCTTGAAAGGGTAAAGTTTGTAATTTGACTACTCTCAAAGAAGAGACAGCAGTTATTTTCATCCTCTTTCAGCAGGGGATGGATGAGAAGCAGCAGTTAAAGTAAAAACGGTCATCTCTTGACATGGTTTCCTGTCGTCTTTGACCCTTGTCATCCTAATCTTCTTCATATGCTTTGAGAACAAGGGTAGCTAATACATAGCAGTGCCACCAAAAGTAAGTGGTAACTCTTTTGCACCAGACCATGTAAGAATGCCCCCTTGCAAACCTGTACTAATTGTGAATGTTGAAAAATGTTTTGAAATGTCAATGAGAAGGCACATCAATAACCTTGTGTTTATCTTCTACAAGAAAATGCCAGCTGCAAACAGCTTATTGTCATGCATGCAGCAAGCTAGATTCTTTCAATTTCATGGTTTTTGCATGCAGCCTTTCCATGAATGCAGGATTTGCTTTGAGTCTCTGCTTCACATACGAGGTTCGAACATCCTCTACAATTTTGTTAGCTTTTCCAGCCTCTTCAATAAGAGCAAATAGAGTCCTCAGGCAGTCCTTCCTATTCTCCTCGCGGTGTTCAAATCTGAGTAAAAATAAACATTTATTCATTGTAAGTTCCCCAAACTTCAAATGCCAGATCATCAATAAGCAGCAGTTAAATACTTCCAACTAATTATCTCAACAATAGTTACGCATTAATAGCTCAGATGGAAGATAAGCCAAAACAAGTGACCCCATAAAAAGATCAGATACTAGTAATTTAGATACACCCAAAATGGGACCTTACCTTTCACTAGTTATAGTAAGCTCATCTCTCCCAGGATGGTAGCGTTTTCCGACCAATTCTCTTAAGCGACGAAATTGATGCTTCGACAGACCCAACTCTTTCACTGTAACAGCCAATTTGACTTTCCTGTTTTTTGGATGCCATGCATCACCCCCAGGAGCAAAGACCACTCTTGTTAGCCATCTGAGAACTGGACCTTCACCTGGTGGATCATCCAAATCCTTTTTGTCATCTGGCAAAGTAGTCCCATCAAACTGTGGAGCATCCTTCTCCATCAGTTTTGCGCACTCCACGACCACCCCATCTTCAAACTCCTTGAACAATGCATAGCCTTCTTCAGGGGTAATCTCACCTTTTTCAACCCTTTCACCTATCTCATCAAACTTGACTTCCACCTTCTTCTTAATTTCATCTGGTCAAAGATAAAATATCCGATGAGTCAAGAATCCAAATATTAGATTGGGACATCAAATATATCACTGAAACTGACTCTAATATCCTGTAAAAGACAAGTTTAAATAGTGTCCTAAAGAGACAACATTATGTGAAACTGAAATGTAATAAAGCTTATAACTACTCCATACAAGTTATCAGAGAAAGTAGCTAGTGATGAAATTATAATTGACTGAAGAGTTGAAAAAATATTGTTACCAGGTAAGATGTAATTATCTCGATCAAGAAACCCTAACTAACTTTTTTATTGCTCCTGCCACACTTCTTTGAAAGTTCAACCCTTCTTTTTTCCCACCACTACAATTTTATAAACCTAACAGGGAAGGAATAGAAAATGGAATTTATCGAACTAAAGATTATATTGTGGAAATCACACCCCTGTGCCCATTTAAGTTCGGACATTATCAGCAGTATTGCTGAACTAGATCACAGATATTATCTTTTGATTGTTAATTGGAATAAACATTATTCACCTGCATGCTTCGGAAAACTTTTAAAGCTGAAACCTTTCCACTTTAATTGGCAGATATTATCCCTATCTTATATTTAAGGTGTCATATCTTTACATGGTATCAAAGCCAAGCCCATCCCAATTTGTTGTTCACCCGATGTTGGTCCCCCATTTAGAAGTGTTCACGCTCCAGTTGAGGTCTGGGCGAGCGGGGGAGTGTTAAGAAGTCCTCATGAGCTAGCTTTTGGGGTTGAGTTAAGCCCAGGTGTCATATCTTTACAATTGTGTTGCAGGAAAAGACAGAAAATAGCATGAGAGTCATCACCGTTGATGTTTCAGTTCACAGGCCAGTCAAAATCTAAAACTAATGAAGCTAATCTAGGCCAAAAAGAATTATTTACTGCAAGGAGGGCCTTAAGCTAAAGCTCCAAAAAGTCCAACAATTTATTAATTCTTTTGAAACAGATGTAAAATTTTGGAATGATAAAAAAATATGCACCAGCTACCTTCCAAACAGCTGACCACCTGATGATTATGAGCTACGCGTAGGTACCTTTCCTAGTTCAACAGACAATTTAAATTTTTCACTTGCAAGAAGCTCATTATAAAACTCAAAGAGATACTAGGGGCTGGACCTTTTATAAGCTTAAAGCCCTGTCGAAAGTAACATCATGATGCAAAAGAATTCATGTTCTACTAATGGGGATAAGAAGTAAAGAATTAAGAAGCCAGAAGAGCATACAAAAGTAGTACCAGGTAAAATTTTATCCCAGCTAAGCATCTCCTGTAAAATTTCCTCACACTCTCTTGTATCCTTAAGATGCCCATGCTCAGTAGCCTCTTTTATCATATCATCCCACTTCCTGTCATCCATGTTGAAGAACTTATCAGTCACCATTTTCCTTTTCACAATATCTGTTGCGTCATACAAATCCTCAATATCTTCATCAGTGCTGTGACCTTCCTCGAAATCTGATTCAAACTCTTCATCATTTACACCATCCAGGGGTTTCATCTGCATCTCCTCCAACAACTCATCATCTGTATGTTCATGCTTTCCCGTCAATTTCCTCTTTAAAATTGCTTCAAGAATTGACGGAAGCGCCTCCTCGTTGCCTTTGTTGAAATACTCCTCAATCCGCAGCTTCAACTCTACAGTAGATATAACAAATGAGATAGCCCAATATGGAACCAAGAAACCCATTCAAATATAAAATGTACCATCCCTGATCTTAATTCACTACCATCTTCTATCAGTGTAATCCCCAAAGAAACGATAAATTGTTTAACACACCACAAAGAAAGCGTCATAAAGGGATTTCCATTGACAGAGCACCAAGAAAGTTGAAAAAAAGAAATCTTTTTTTCTGAGGGCATTTTAGTTGGAACAACAAACCTAGAGACGACAGTAAAATAAGACCCAAAATTCTACTACTTAAATTTTCTCCAATATTCTATTGTCAGCAATCCGCATCAATCATAGCAAGAGAGATCCAGTACATATTCTCATTAATCAGCAAAATCATTACACCTAACTTTGTCCACACATTTTCAGGGAGAAAAACGAAAGACTAAATTAACCCCACCACCCAATTTTCTCAGAATCGACAAATAATCGCCACTAAACTCATTGCAGATCGCCAAGTACTTACCTTTATTGTTGACATCTTCAACATTGAGGGAGACCTCTTCAACATTGAGGGAGACCTCTTTTTCGGTGGATTCATTCAAGCTAGTCTCCAGCTGAGGGCTTGGTTCAGGGGTGTTCTGATTCGATGAAGAATCATTTTCTGATGAAGAGAAGAATCTAATCTTTGACGGAACAACTGGGCGATGAATGATTTTACTGCTGCTATTGTTGAAATAATTCGGATTTGATTTGAAGTTTTGAGAGAGATGGAAATTGCGGGAGCACAGAGAAAGAGCTCGTCTCATGGTTTAGGGTTTTAGCGTCTCTCTGTTACAGTTTTGCTTTTCAGGGTTTGTTTTCTCAGTTATTAGATACAGGCAACTTCAACATTGGAACGACAAAAATATTTGTGTTTTTTTAACCACATACTTTGCTAAAAGGTAAAAGAAAAAATAGGAAAATAGAAAAGATTTTAAATATTAGTACTGGTAAATACAAGTATATTATTCAAATGTGAACTTCTACGTATAAAAGTGAATTGAATTGATTTCTATTTATAAAAAAGAAAAAAAGTTTATCGTAAAAAGAGAAGTTCACCGATGCATTATGACACCTCTTGTTTGATTAAATTGTCGGTGTTTGATTAAGTTGATTGCAAGTTATCTGCTTGAACTATTTGTACACAAATGATTTTGTTTCTGTAATGGTTTTTCCTAATCAGTTGTTCTGAGCACCTCTTGATAATTGAATTCAACCATCCCCTTAACAATATTTAAGCCCATGAAAGAGCTTCATGAATCATAACTAAAGAAAGCTTTAGCATCATTATAGGCATCCAAACAACCAGAAAGATGGCTTGAAAGATCTTTAACAAAGCAGCCTCGACCAACCCTTAAAAATTACCGCAAACTTGAAATAGTGCAGCCACAACATAGCATTAGCCAACCAGCAGGTGGGTTACTTCCAATAACACGGTGAAGATGGTGGGGGAGGCGGACATATCAGCCTCAGAATTGATTCAATTGGATCATTCTTGACACAGAAGAATGCATAGGTAAGGTACAAAGAATTGATATTACAAAGTGTTCAACATTAAAAGGCGAGGAAGGTATTATTTTCCTACACTGGAAGGTTAAGGGAATAATGAAATTTACTCAGAAAACATGTCATCCATGGGTCACAAATACATCTTCTAGAGGCTATAGGACATAGTGTTTAAATCATCCAAACTTCAAACAAACATAATTTTGCTCACTACAACTTAGCCAGACGAAAAGAGAAAAAAAGGCGTTCTTCTATTTCTACTGGGATTCAAATCCTGGTATCCCACAGTTATTTCCACTTCATTGATTGATTAGACGCCTTCACCAGACCCCACTTGTGGGATTACAATGGGTATGTTGTTGATTGGACACCACCTATGCTTCCAACTTCACAAGTTGTTCAGATAGAAATTCTTTCTGCTGATCCAAAATGAATCTGCTAGCTATTGAAATATAAAATTACAGTGAGGAATGATGAATACATAAACGTTTAATCCTCTTAACAACTCACTCCATGACAATTATGGATCCACGATCTTGTATTCTCATCAATGTATAATCAACAATACTCATATAGGTAGACTTGTCGTAATTCAACTCAATCGGAGTCAGACTCTCTATTGGCAGCATCATTCTGTCGACGAGGTTGAGCCTGAAGTTCATTCATCAATTCCTTATCAGATTCTTCACTTTTTCCAGCCAATTTTCTTTTCAATATGGCTTCAAATATTGATGGGAATGCTTCTTCATCTCCTTCAAAAAACTTATCTATCTGCTTTTTCAGCGCTGTAATAGGAACAAGAAATCAACTCCAAATTTGAATATGAAATCAATCCCTGTTTCAATCCTATATCCGAAACTTACTAAAGTAAAAAATTCTCCAAGTTTATCTCAATTGCAATGAAATTTAGTCTCGAATACAGTATTTAGAGATGGATAAAATCATAGAGCTAAAATACTAGGTAATTAATTTCTACTGAAACTGAAAGTTATATTGGTATAAATTAGAGATCTTTCTCCAGAATCAGTAAATCATAGGGTTAGTAAACTCAAATTTACCCGCAAAAGGAGGAAGAAATACAGCGAAGTTTCCCCGATTATTGAGTGCTCAAAATCAAAATTTTCAGCAATTGAAACAAGCTAACATATAACTGCTTATTTGCGGATCTAATACAACTAATGAAGATAGATTTTTGTAAGAATCGCACCTTTATTGCTGATATCGTCTTCTTCTTGAAGGTTATTGTTGTTGCTATCAGGGGCATCAGCAGGAGGTTGATTAGAGCTTTTGGATGTGAAACGCCTACAGCTGGGCCAAAATGAAGAGGTAGCAGGATAAGGATTCGGCATTAACAAACTGCGGGAACAGAGATAAACACTTCTTGCAAGAGATCGATTCATATCGATTATCTTCGCGTTAGGTTTAAGGAGGGTTTTTGTTCTTGAGCTTCTATGAATTTCCTTACCAGTTCAACATTTCTGTTCTTTCTTCTTTTACGGGTTGTACCCCAAATTGAATGGAGCTCATAGAAGGGCCGGGTGGATCAAAGCCCAATTATATTGCAACGGGTTTTATTTTGTACTGATTTTTAATTTTTATCCGATAAATAACTTTTTTGCATCATAATATCTTAAAATTTATGTCTGTTCTTAAATAACTTATGTCCCACTAAAGCACAAGTTAAATTTCTAGAGATAAAAATTAAAGATCAATCCATTTGAAGGGCAAAAATTAAAGATTTTCATTATAAAGGCAAATCGTTCAGTTAGATCTATAGCAACACATCATAAGATGGGAGTTTGGTGATTTACAAGAATGACCTTTGTAAAGGGTGGTCTTGAATATTTGGTCTCGTTTGATATTTTTGTAAGAAATGGCCCCAGCTTAAGAAAACATGCTCAATTGGCTAGGTTCATCATCACAAGTAAAAAATGTATTTATTGCTCAATTGTTCACAAGTTATGGCCAATGGATACTAATTTGTTCTACCTATCGTGTTTAGTTGGTCAAAAATTATATCTAGATCTTTGAGAATGTGATAGGAACGTACTTCTCAATGGTCTTGCACAGCGGAAAATTCAAATTAATCATATCAATAAATTATGAAAGCACCAATTGCAAGAATGGTTAATCTCCTTCTTAATGTAGAAAGAGAGAATGCCCCTCCTCAATATGTTGCAATCAACTTTCACACATCTTTCTTGCCAACTAAAGAACAATACATAATTAGCTATTTTGCCTTTTCCTTTTAGTAGCAAACACTTGAAGTTATACCATTTGATATTCCAATTTGTATACCTTCAATCAAGCAGGTGCAATAGAAACTTTTTCAACTTCAATAACATACTCAAGAGTAGCAGATGGAGGAATTTGCAGCCCTGTTCCTAAATCTGCTCCTTCTTCTCCAAATCCCAAATTTGGAGTAATTATCACTCTTCTTTTTCCACCTGCCTTCATACTTTTTAGAACAGTTTCTATACCTTCACAAATTCCTTTACTATAAGGCCTTGATCCCATTACTAATGCCAGTGGCCTCTTCTTCCTTCCATCACCACCAAATGTATCCACAAAAACTTGTCCACTGCCTTGTATGCTTCCCTTCACATCTATCACAACTAAGTCCCCTGGCCTTGGCGTTGCACCGCCACCAATTTTCAGTTCATAATACCTGTTAGACGAATATGGGTTAATTTCACGTATGGACACTATAATAGTTAAGTTACAGAACTTTTTGTTTTGTTATCACGTTAAAAAGTAACTGAACTTTATCATGTTACTGTAATGTCACCTTGATGAGTAAGTTTTGTCGTTAAAGGAGGTAAAGTTTAGTGATTTTACTTCTATAGTGAGTACATGGCTTCTATAGTAGGTAAAATTCAGTTATTTTAAAGTGAGAAGATAATTTTACGACTTTACTGTTATAGTGGATAAAAGTTCGATTAGCATAGTAGAGACTGTACCTTATCCCATTGGGCAAGACCACTTCTTCTTCTTTCTCAACAACCCTGACAGTTAAGTAAAGAATAGTTAATATTTCCTGGATACAATTTTGATGATTATACAGAGAAGAAAACACATGAAACAAATAGAATATGGAAATACCTTGTATTTGTTTCTTGTTGAGACACTTCAAGGCGAGTTTTGATTTGCTCAGAAACAACACCAAAAGCAAGGAAACCAGCCCAAGCAAGTCCAGCACCAAGGCCAAATCTCCTAGTTAAGGAGGAGGCAATCCAATCAGTGGAATCCGCGGAGGTTGATAGGCGGGCAGATTTACTAGGCTTTTGCTGCTGCACGTTAACAGGTGATGGAGGCTCTGCAGCAGTTGCACTCAGTGGCTGAGATGGTGGCGGAGTTTGTGGTTGTGGATTTTGATTTGGTGGCTGAGAAGGAGGAGGAGTTTGGGAGGATGAAGAAAAGTTAGTTCTGGTAATTGGGTGAGACAGAGAATGTGTGGATCCAAAGAGAGTGGCCATGTTTTTGGATATGAAATGAGCATATGAGAGAGTAGCAGATATTTGTAGTGACTCAACTGTATACAGTTGTAGTAAATGGTCCCTACCTTATCTTTACATGAGTCAGTTTTCTCCAGGCATGCTATTTCAACTAAAAACTAAATCAACAATTGACTATTACATAAATCTTTAAATTCAATAAACAAAAAAGGATAAGGCTGTTCCTCTACTGCTGCAACTGGATAATCAAGCATCTCAAAGAATTTGATGTGGAAGTATGGGAAATGTTCTCAATCTCTGTTAATTACAAAATGATCCCAAAAATGAATTATACATAAGATAAGATGCACAATGTTGAATACCTGTGGGTTGACAACTGCCAGAAAACCAAAAAAAAAAAAAAAAAAAAAGAATCACAACAATTGACTCATCATGAAGTATATGTTTGTTGACAGATCCTTTATGTCTTCCTTTAATTTCTGGTTAAACAAATATGGACCTGTCTTCATTTCCAACAAAAGATAAAATTCCGTTTTCCCTTCTGTCCTAAACATACTATGCTGCTGGATCATCCACGTTTCTTTATGACCGACCCTTTTCTTGACCTCTGTTCCCCAGTGGTTTTGGTACTTGTGAACTGGTTATAGGCTTTTGCAGTGGTTTCAAAGCAGCCATAATCTCAGCAAATGAAGGCCGTAACTTTGGATCTCTACACATTAAACAGGTAAAGCAAAAAAAAAAAAAATCAGATTTTTACATCAAGAAAACCAGAGATAACCTTGTATTGACACGCAAGCAGGTTAATATTTTGTCAATACTAACGGCATGGCTTTCATGCTGAGGTGCTTTGGTACTGCGTACTAACATTATATATAAGTGACTCACTTTTTTTTTTCAATGATAGTGGTGTCTAGGCCAGCTTGTGTACACTTATTCTCACGGGGTATTGTTACCTCCACTAGATAAATTTGCCAATCAAGATATAGACAGATGGAAAAAAATCACCTAATGTTTCTTCTTATGCTGAGATTTGAACGTTAACCCTCAACTCTTTTTACACATACCATTGGGTAGATATTAACAGATGCACAAAAACTACAGGCACTGCCAGACCAACACTGTGATGGTCACCTAGGTGCCTTGATTACGACCAACAATCACATGATAAACACTGATTCTAGTACTAACCAAAACCATTGGTTAGCCTGACAAGCTCTAAAGGAGTAAAAGATTATGGATGGAGCTCAATTAGGGGAATAATGACTGAAAGATAAATTGTTCTCACGTTTGCCAGCATTTTCGGATGATGTCTGCAACAGCAGGATCCATGTCATCTGGTATGTCAAGACGGCGATGCTGAAATCCAACTGCACCTACAACTTGCATGGGGTTCATTCCTCCCCATGGCTGCTGCAGAGTACAGAGCTCCCATAGTACGACACCAAAGCTATATACATCACATCTGTAAGGCATGAAAACATTGTACACATCAACAACCATTATACCAAAGACGGTGAAGAAACTCATTGTTGAACCCTGATATTTGTAGTAGTATTGTTCTGATTTTTGCGTTATACGTTGCTTTCACTAATACATATTTATTCAACACTTTGAATGGGGTAATATGATTATTTAAGACATACTTCTCATCTGAAGGCTCATTTCTCAGCACTTCTGGGGCCATCCACTCAGCCTGAAAACAAAAGGTTGCAGCAGAATCATAAGCCAGCAACAACGAGAGTCAAATGTTTGCTCATTAAACTCTTGCAGGGATACACAAAGAACCATGATGAAGAAAATACTGAGTTGTCTGCAGTATTTAGTTAGACCATATATAATACATGAATAATGCAAATTCAGAGAAACTTCTCAAAAGCAACAGTTCCGTTACTTAGTATTTTCTAATGTGGGAAAATTTCCTGTGTACAAGTAGAAACATACAACAGTTCATTACCTAGTATTACTAACAAAAAGTATATGTTTCTACAAGTGCTAATTTTCTACCCTTGAAACTGCAAGCATTTTGTGCAGCACAGGCTTAACTACAATAGTCATCCAATTTAATTCCAAATAACAACCCTCAACCCTATGTGTTCGAAAATTGAAAAAATTCACCGAGAATCTGAATGAAGCAAGCATATTCTATTGTAACTGCTAATTTCCACAAAATATCAGCAGAAAGGGAAAATTTACACATTGTATATTATGAGAAATGCAATACAGCAGAGTTAGGAGGCGTTTGGCCATGAACAAAAACAACTCCAATTCGTATTCATGGACAAACACAACTCCAATTTTCAAATACAACTTTTCACTTTGAAAACAAAAACCTACTTTTTTCAAACATCACATTGGAACATGGCCAAACGCCCACTTAGCATTAGATACAGAACTTATAAATTTTCTACCTTAATGAATACTATAACCACTAAATAAGACGTGAAGATCAGCAAACAACAGAAAGTACTAAACTATATTTATGCATCTAGGTTTATGAGAACAAATGAAAGACAATAGAAATACGCAATTTTGTCATTTCGGAACTATCTCCATCATATATATTTAGTGACTTCCTTCAAAATCAATAGTATCAAAGAGCAGCAGTCCTACTTTACAGCAGTTCATCATGTGCGCAGATAACAAGGTAAAACATTTTCACAACTTCAAAACTAAGTCTTGATATCGGAAAGGGCTAAAATATGTAATTAGAAGCCTGGATACTCTTTTCAGATGAGGTAAACATGTCATACATTTAAATTTATTTTTGAACCATGGATCACAGTGACCACCTTTTTGAAGGCGAAACTTGGCAACCAAAACATCTCCAAAAGCCTGAATTGTTTTAAGACCAACAGCATGGAGCTATCTTCTACAAAAGGGCTGATATAAAATGATGTACAAAGATTAGCAGGTATGCATGACTGGAATATTACAAGTTCTATTAAGAAGGGCACCACTATGAAATAAAGTCGTGGGAACAAGAAGCACAGGAGAAGATTATCAAGGATAGGAGAATGTCAATTTAACAGCTAAACAAATGTACAAAAAGAAAAAGGAAGAAAGAAGCATGTGCTGAATAATTGAATCAAATCCTCCTGCTTACCGTCCCAGCAGTTGATCTTGAAGATAGAAAGGTGCTGTGCTTTATTTTCGATAACCCAAAATCACATACCTAGAGTCACAAATAGTTGTGTTAAATGGGAAGGCATTGTAAGATGTCATTCACTAGGTTTCAGTTAAAGGAATTCCACCTTCACAACCCAGTTCTTATCCACAAGGAGATTTGGAGACTTCAAATCACGATGAACTATCACAGGAGTGCAATTGTGTAGATAGTTCATCCCTCGAGCCTGTTAGTTAAATAAATAACGTATAGCAGAAAGTCATTATGTAATATAGAAGGTTTGAATCAATGGAAAAGTTTTTAAAAAAAAAAGAAGAGAAAAGTGGAGCATACAGCATCAAGAGCCATCCTCAACCGTCTCCTTTCATCTAATTGATTGTTCGACCGATGAATTAATCTGTACAAACTACCTCTGCAAAACAAAATATAATTTGATTTCCAGCATTTGAACGTTTATAAATCAAAGCTGCAAATATTTTATATTTCCAAGCTTGGCAATAGCTACTAGGCAACTTCAAATTTCCTGGAGGACCAGAACTACCGCAAAACTAAATATTACAGTAGTTTGATGTACCTATGAAGAAACTCGGTAACAATTGAAAGGTTTGGAGGACGTGTAACGGCTCCCATGAACAGGACTACATTAGGATGCCGGAGTCTTCTCATGATCATCACCTTCCAAGGAAAAATTAAGTTTGAAGGAGATTACAATATTCCTTTATGCTAAATAACACATCAGATAAGAGCAATGACTACTGAATTTGTTAGTGTAAGAAACAGACTACAAATGGATAAGTGCACAAAATAGATCTGCAACAACATTCAGAAAGAAAAATCTACAAAGAGTAAAAAATGAAGAATCTCAACTGGAAAGGTAAGAAATTTAGTAATCACTTAAGGCTCTACATCATTTACAGTTTGAATTGGGAAAATTGATCAAACATCAAAGAGCTGAACTCAGTGGAGAAAACTTTCACTAACTTGGATGATAGAGAGGAACAGTTTAAATAAAAGACTCCATCAGCATGTTAGTTGACATACTGTGCGCTCCTTACCAAGAGTTACAAATTAAGAAGAGCATAGAGGAGCTCTTAGAAGGACCACTAGCTGAATAAAGAGTGAATTTTTCCATATAGCTTTTGATTTCTCTTAGTTCAATTATGTAAGCAAGAAAGGAAAGAATCAATTTGGAAAACAAAGTAATGAAAATTTCTCAATTTTCTGGAAGCTTGAAATTAATAAATCTTAACTGAGTAAAAGTTGATAGTGAGCCAGAAAATAAATTCACGCCATTGAATATATTTACATGATTATCAAGCCACCCAGAGAGATGAAGGTGACTATCAGTTATATCGACTCTGAGTCAGTAAATTATAAACCATGTCATGATTCCCTAGAGTATTAGTTGGACGAATTCAACTCTATTTAAGCGAAATTGCAGCATGCTTACCCATTTTGATACTGGCTCAAGTCAAGTAATCCTTATATTATTTCTCCATCAGTCAAATACATTTTTCTTTCACACAAAGATCAATCATTCTATACAAAAATTTATAAGATGTAATTACACAATTCTTTCTTTTGATATGGTAAAATCCATCAAAACAACAAGACCTTCTAGGAGCCCAGCAGTGGCCCTCTCCAACTTTTCTCCATTGGTGGCTCGAACCACCAACCTAACGATTGGAGGTATAGGGTCTTTAGCACTAGGCTATCCTTCCCTTATCCCGATTCCCGTCAGTTGTAATTGTACCTTACAAGCAAGCATTACTTTCTGCCAGTATTCTTGCTAGCTTATAATGAGTTAGTGACTAGGGCATACATTAAGCTAGATTTTTTATTCTTGGGTCAGTGGTACTAGGGCATGTATCCCCATTTTAATGTTCTTATTCTGGAATTTTTTTTCCTTTGGCATTTATTCATTAGCTTTTCAAATTCTTTTGAAAGTGTTTTTCAATATATTTTGAAAAAAAGAAAATCCATTGACGATTTAGAAAGACATCTGAGATGTGATAGTAATGCCATGAATTGTCATTTTCAAAACTTCCCTGAAAAACCAAGGGAAAAGGCCTATGTTGGACAAGAAAGGGTATACCTCACTTTTAAACTCTTCAAGGGATTCACCAGCTAACTCTTGGTCTAGGAATTTCTTCACAGCTACTTCCTGAAAATAAGAAGGTTCCATCTATTTGTATCAGTTCAAGTTGAAGACAATGATGAATGATTGTAAGAGAAATGGATTTTTCCCATTTAAATTTGATGCAAGTGAAGAATGACTGAACAACCCAGCTATATCACCGTTGACCCACAATATCTAAACAGTATCAATGATCCAGTCATGCACTTTTTCCTAAGAGGCATTAACATCCAGAAAAAAAAATTTAAAATAAATTAAAAAATAAATAAAATATGCTTTCAATAATGGTGTGCAAAACAGGTTCTTATTAGTTTAATTATTCATTTGTTTTGGTAAAATGACAAGTGTAAGAAGATTCAGTAACTTCAGAAAGAGTAATCTTTTTGTCACTGAGTTATTATCTACAGCTTTTTGCTGACATCTATGTTGAACCAACTTAAAGCAGTCAAACATGTCCCTGGTATCCTAAATTCCATATCGGGTATAAGGGTTTATAAAGGTCTTTGAATGCCCTTCACTACCCGGTATGAGAAATTACTTATCTCAAGTCAATATGTGGAGTATTATTAACTCTTCCACAATTACCATTCTCAGAAGGCCATTATAAATCCTCTTGGAGACTCTTCAAACTACAAGAATACACAAGTATAAATGAAACTTGGCAGTCTTCAAAAACTTCACTTACTTCACACACTAACAACATCCACAAATTTCAGATGCCCATACATATCATTACCCTCTAAGTTGAAGAAACAACTTGCATCTGATAGTCAGATAAGACAGTATGTTCTAGCTTTTCAACTTTGTAAAGAAAAAAGATGCAAAAGTTCATTACAGCAAAACCTAAAATGAAAAGAAGAAATCTAATAGAAAAACTTACAGTTCCATGCCACTCTCCACGATAGACCTCCCCATAAGATCCTGCAACAGGAAAGATTAGTGAAAATGTAAAATGACACGGAGTTAAACTACTTCATGGATGCTTGTATAATTGGAAATATACAATGCAGATCAATACCAAGTCCGATACGCTCACCCAAGGTGATCTCCTCCATTGGAATCTCACAATCTGCGACATCATCAAGTGTCACATCAGATTTCACACTATCATTACCAGTTGACCTATCTGATACTCTTTCACCCTCATAATTCACTCCTAATGCCTCATGCACTTGATCACCACTACCCCGTTTTTCAGGCACAGCACCATCTGCATCTTTATCAACTCTTTTAGGGTCGATTAAATTAAGGAAGAAAGCAGGACTATTTGGTAAATGAGCAGATGTCTCCAAGTTTTCATATTGCTTAGCGACAGCGGCAGTTGTTGCTACCACTGCTGCAGTTGTGGCTGTCACAGCAGCTGCAACAGGGAGATCAGCATTTGAACCATATGTGGTCTTTGCTGCAGCAGCTACCATTGAAGATGCCACCACAGCTGCTGCAGCTGCAGCTGCAGCAACAGGCATATTTCTCGTGAATTTCGCTGCAGCCAGCTCAGAGTGTGAGGAAACATGCTGCCCACTAACTTCTCCACCATCCAGATGAGGATCAAATGGCCCACGGGGATTGACCTTGGACATGGCATGATAAGCCAAAGGAGGCAAGAAATTATTATAATCTAGATCAACTTGACTCTTGATTTTCTCAACCTCATCCCTACCCTGACTTTCCATATCCTCTGACCTGGATTTTCCCTCCACAGGGGAGGCATCTAATTGCTCTGAATAGACTTCAGTGAACAAATTTGGTGGTGCAACAACACCACTTTCAAGTAAGACATCATGAAGTTTTTGAGCTAGCTGTGGATTTTCTTTAGCAGCATCAATCATGTACAGTGAGACATCCTTCGCTTTCATTCGCCGTACAGCTGGGGAACTAATGCCCTCAGTCCAGGAAGGAGATCTTGTATGTGAATAAGGAGATCTTGCATGCCCAGTCCTGGATGAAGTTTCTGGCCCTTGCTCCTTCACAGTACGAAGCTTTGTGAAGTCATCAGAGTTATTATTTCCTTTCTTCTTTTCTGAATTACCTGTAGAGGGAGACTCATTTCCTGCACTGATTTCACCAAACCTGGATTTCCTCTCTTCGATTCCATACTCTGAATGATCTTCTGAAGAACAAGCAACCCCACTACTAGAAGAACCCGTATGAGAATCAACATCTTTGGAGGATGGACTGATGGAGAGGATGGATTCCTCATAGTCTCCCTGTGTTCCAGATGTATCAGAGGGAATAAGTGTGCCAGGGTCTGCCATCAAATCAACAATATATTCCCTGCAAAGCATATGACTTCGTAAGCAAAAGAGGCAACTTTGGGAGGAGTAATTATATGCTTGAACAAACTTTTCCACCCTGGTGAATTCAAATTTATACTCCCAGCAAATTAAAACAGCTACAATCTTAAGAAATAGGAGAAACAGATTATATGTTTCAAATTGATCACCTTGCTACTTTATAGATAAGTTGTGTATTTGACTTGTCAAAAGAGATGTATTTAATAACAAAGAAGATTTATCCAGCACTCTGCCTTGAAAACTTAACATATACCTTGCTCATCGAAATGCTACCTGACTGTATACCAACTATGGTACAAAAACATAGGAATCGGAAATGAAATTAGAAAATCTGAATAAGGAAGAAGACTAAAGGGAAGAAACCTTCCATCTTCAAGCTTTACATAGTTCATTGCAACTTCATCTGAACCTGTGTATTCTTGCCCTTTTACTAATCGACACGGGAGCCCCACACTATCAGCCAAAACCTGTACAAAATTTCAGAAGTACATCAAATCATAGACAAAAAGAAAGGCCCCAGTTGACCATCATGCCAGGAGATGAAGAACCAAACACAACAGTGATAGAAAACCATAGTAGAATGTAGATACATGAGAATCCAGCTTTACTCATCCTCAGGTCCAAGCTACAGGAATCAGCAAATCCATATATCAATTTTAGCTGTTTACAATTTTACACTTTCTTTCCTTTCGTTTTTTTTTTTGGCTCCTTACTGGATTAGGAGGAAGTTTATCATCAGTATGTTTAACTATTTTTATTTGTTTGAAGAAAAATAATTTACATCCACCATAAATACCAGACATGTATATAGACACTGACACAAACATACACACACACACACACAAAGAGAGAGATCTAGAATATATTGTTTGAAGGAAATATTGGCTTTCCTTTCTGAAGTAAGATACTTGTCGCCATTCTTTATGCTTATTGAACAATATATTCTGTTTGATGGAAAATACCTTGCTCAATTTATACTTAAGAAAGGCAAAGGCATGGAGATCTAACCTTTCTAACTTGAGAAAGGAAAAGGCAAGGACAGAGAGAATCTTTTTTTCTAAGAAAAATCAAAAGACCTCTGCCTTGAACTTTTGGTATGATCTAATTCCTTTCATGTTTCTTGTTAACTCTTTAAAACATAAAATAATGACCTTTTAGTCGCAAAAATGAGATACGCAATACAAAAAGTACTATTCAACAAAAACAAGAAAATTGGCAGAATGTGCTAGCTAATGGGTGTTAAAGGAATAAATTTAAAAACACGAGTGTCTGCAATCATTGTTATCTGCAATCACTTCTCAAGTCATTTTGGCTTAAAATACAGTTCAGCTGGATTATTTCTTGGCTTAATATTTTAATGACCACAGCAAAAGTTGATTTTAATCAAATCGGTAAGCACAAGAGGAGGATATTGTCAAATATTTTCTAAGTCATAACAATTAAATGGGACAAACATACTCTGGGTTATTCTCATGCATCAAACGTATGAATAGACATGATGTTTGATATGAAAGGCTACTGAGAAGTGACAAGGATATCATGCAGGAACTTGCCATTGACTCTCCAGAAAAGATGGAGATACATCAATTATGCACAAAAAGTAGAAAGCATAGACGGATTGCTGAACAGAATGTGGGGACATTACTGATTCAATTCATATTTGATTAGGGCACAGCACACGTGCAATTGACATCTTATAAAGGATGGATATAGCACACCTGCATACAACAGCAGAAAGAATGGATGTGGAATGCTGAACAGTATATGGAGACTACATACTGGATTTAAATAATGGTTGACTAAAGTACTTCAAACAAATATTTGAGAAGCATCCAACTAAAACTGAACTAAACTCACCCAACAGTGTATCCAAGGAACACTGCTGTTGTTCATCTTATATATGAAGAATGTATGCCCTCTATCTACAAAACTTATCAGTTTTCTCTATGTGGATATGTAGTCTTTGTTTGATAAAAAAAGGGGTATCATCACTGTCACGATCCAACTTTGAAAATAAATTACGCTTCATAAGTGAGATAAGTTGATTCAAACATCTCAAGATCATAGTCAGCTAGCACACCTTCCTTGTGTAAGCATCAAACAGTTAAGCATGAAACTACCGAGTTTTATATATTTCTCATATATAAATAGAAGTGTATTGTTAAAGGTTTTGAAGGTCAAAAAAGCTTAGTACCTTAAATAACAAGGCACGGTGACGAGCCAGTCCGACGGTCAAAGAACCCAGAGGCAAAACCATGCTCCCAAAAGTGGCCTTTAGACTATGACTAAGGCTTCTCCATGCTATTAACATGCCGTCAGGATCACCAACTGGACCACCCATGTGTTCAGAAACTAGCATCGCAAGCTTCTGAACTAACTTTTTATCAGCAAAACCTATGGATTCTGACCTGACCTTGACAGTCATCTCTATAGCTTTCTGTTCTAACTTCAACAGCTTAGAGTCCGCAGCTCTATTAACAAGGATAGCTTCCCAAGTGATCTGGTCTGCTACCGGTGTTCTTTGTAGATCGATAAGAGAGGGCATTTTTGAGGGATCGGACTCTGTCAGGATCCCATAAAGATCATAAAAGCCATCCAGGATCTTGTCATCAAAGCTTAGAGCGTTGTAATTCTGAAAAGCATTCATAAATCTATAATATGAGATAATTCATGTGTTAGAGAGGAGCACGGAATAGAAACAGGGATATTTTGTGCAAAATAAGTATCACGGGTGGATCAAACAATAGAGCAAATAGTAGTCCACAAACCAATCTCTCCAAATGTCAGACAACTGAGCTTTCTATAAAATCTTGTTCTCTTGGAAATTAATATGACAAAATAATAGAAATAGAAAACCTTGTGTTTGAAAAATGGCAACTGAGAATCATCTGCAAAATGGACTCTATCACTAAAAGCAGGGATAGTGCCTACTGCCTACCTTTCACCAGATTGCAGCTGGGTATGACCAGATTTAAGGCTTCCCAACCCACCCAAATAGCAACATGGAAGTAAATATAAAGAAATTTTCAACGCATAACTGTGCTGCCCAGATGGTATCCAAAAGACCAAAGAAAGTTTTGGTTCTTCTCAGGGAACTCTGTTGGAATGTACTCATCCAGTTTGTAATAGTGCTTTTCCTAACTAACTGTAATTTGTCGTCCAGGATTATTAGTAAAGGTTTGCTTCTTTTTGCTTCTAAATCAATGGCTTCTTCTTTTTTATGTCCACGAAATCTTCAAGGCCAGTGGCACAGGTTCAAACTCGGTGGACAGTGGTCAGCCCCTCTACCTTCTGAACTTAAATACCAGGCTTTGTCCACGGCAGGTTCGAACCCATGACGCGCGCCTAACCTACTCATCATACATTATGCTCTTACCATAAGACCAAAGTCCTGGGAGCCTCTATATCAACGAAAATGAGAAGTAGCCACTAGCCACTCAACTCAGATCATTTCCATTTATCTACAGAGTGTGAAAAGACGAACACCGTGTACATACTAGTCTTGTCGGGAAAATATATTATCCACTATAAGAAGCATGTTTGTCGCAAAAGATGAGTAGGAACTTTCCTTTACTATGACTTCTCCCCTTAATATATACATCAAGCATGTGCATTTTCTTTTACTTCTTAGATTTTCCATGAACTGAGCATTAGGAGTCTTTTTATTTCGGAAAAAATTTCTTTACGGCATCTTTTATTAATATAGCATACCCCTTCATATTTCTTTTTTGATAAAGGATAACATATCCATGTTTAACAAGGTCTTTACCACACCACGTCAGAGCACACTATAATACGAGTATTCCAGTGTCAAAGTGTGTTATATTCCACGCAATGCCACTGAATGAACTTCCCTATAGATAATATCAACATCTTCATAGTTTTGTCATGAGAATTAATTTATTTTTATGACTAGGGAAACCCGCAGCCCCTACCCTTTCGGTGCGCACAGGGTAAAACCCCCGCTCCTATGCAATAGCTCGCAAACCACCTAGGAGAGGTAACCCGCACTAGGCAAGCCCGGTGCAACGAGCTCGACCCAAAAGGCAAACCCCTTGCTTTTGCTGGCAAGGGGTTTCGAACTTGAGACCTCCAACATGGAAGTCCCAATCACAAACCACTGGCCCACCCCAAAGGGTTTTTGTCATGAGAATTTTGAGCTCCAGTTATCTTGAACCCACATTCTATCTAGAAGAATGAAGACCACGAAACTAAGCAATTGATTTGGCATTAGCAGGGATGGAGCTAGGGTACTGGAAGGGGGTTCATTCAAGCCCCCTTCATCGAAAAATTACATTATATATAAAGTCAAAAATACTTCTATATATATAGTTTATCTTGACCCCCTTGACTTCTTCGTATATTTACTTCTTGAGGAATGCCAAGTATAATCAACAGCAAAATAGTGACACCTATCATTATCATTATATTGACAACAATGGCACTATAAAGACTGAATTTGCTTAACCGCAATCGCTAATTAGAGGCATGTTGCAGCATCACTTAGCTGAAACTAACTGTTAACAAACCAAAACAATATAACAAATATGATCACCAATGCATAAAAATTATCAAAGCAGCATGTTGTCAACCCAATGTGTTGACAGAGTCAAGGAACTCACTAACCTACTAAATTCCTATCTTTTGGTAAAATAGGTCCCAAAAAAAATATAATCACCCAAATGCCTATTAATACCAAAAGGAAAACAAGCTAAAGAAAAGCAATTAAAAATCAACCAAACAACTAGATGAAACAAACTTACCCAATATCTATAAGCTACAATTTCAGCTGGAGTGTTCTCCGGGGCACACGAGCCTAAACTTATCTGCTTAACAGCTTCAATCTGAACTGCCTCGGGGTCTTCCCTTGCACTCAACTCCAGAGCTAATTGTATTTGATACTCTTCCTCTATATCAGGCCCCCTAGAGTTGCTAGACTCCGAATCACGCCTTACAGCATCTAAAGCAGCCTCTAAGCCACTGCTACTAGCAGAATCAGAAGGTTCCATCCTAATATTCCCTCTACTCACGTTTGAAGAAGATGGAGGACTAGGACTTTGACGATTGGTAACAGAATTCAACCATCCAGAAATAGCTGAAAAGGGCTTATTATCATCAGACCTAGAATTTGAATGTCTTTCAGACGACAAAACGTCACTCAATCTTTTAATCTTAGCTGAAGACTTTGACCCTTCTGAATCCTCTGATTGACTAGAGATATGAAATTTCTTCAGAAAATTTTTCATCTTTCCTTAAACTAAACCTCTGAACAAAGTGTTAAAAGAAATGGAAAGCAGGCCATAAACCTCTCCATTGTCGCACTCCAAGCATGAATCTTGATACACAATAACAAGAAGAATGGGCAGAATTTAAGTTTCCTTTGATAAGGGGTTTCAAGTCAACATCCAAGAACTTGACAAATCAAATCCATCACTCAAATTAGTCATCACCCATTAAAGTTTGCTTTATAGTAACAAGAACCCAGTCGGCAAATTCAAATCTTGAAACACAATAAAGAATTCAAATACTCATATATACAACACACATGTATTATGTCAGGAAGACAAAAAGTCTGTCTACAGACAAAAAAGAAGAATCGACAAAAAGTTGTTCTGTTGCTTAGCAAATAAGAAGAAGATTAAATCAAGAAAAGGGGAACAAGAATGCAAGAAAGGATGTTGGATTGCGTGAAGAGAGAGAGAGAGAAAGATTGAAATTTTACTGGTTACAAGAAGAATGACAAATTGTATACTCCTAGTCGTATACTAATTAAAAGCCAAAAGGGGGTTCTATAAGTGGTGAGTTTGGGAAAAGGGAGAGGCCAAAAGACAGCAAAGACCAACAGGTGGGAGTTGGCTCATAATAATCAAGACAGATGACCCACATTCAATTTTTTGAGGCACACACACAACTCTCTACTTAGTAGCATTTCCCATAAAACCAAGACCTTAAAATGGTTGTACTATTTTTAAAACTATGGTATTCATATTAGCTTTCACTTTCCTACACCCACCTCAGCTAACTTTCACTAATAGACTTTCGATTCATCAATCTTTTTTAACTAATCACATCCTTGAGTGTCAAATGAGTGTACTATTACCTTTTTTTACTATTTTTTGATATCTACATTGAAATTTAACTAATACAGCAGATTTGGTATCCCAAGACTTTAAGATAGTTGTACTATTACACTATCTTTTTTTACTTGTTTTAATACTCGATTAATATGAATAATACCGTAAAAACAATTGAATAAAAGAGAAGTAGTTCAATCAAGACTCTTTTTATTCAAAATATATACTTGTCATTTTATCCATTTTAGTTGTCATGGTTATTTGAAATAATTGTTTCAAAATATATATTTGTCATTTTAAATATTCAAGATAAATTTAGTGACATTTTTTCACGTTTAGTTTTAGAAATATTGATAACTAATACGGAACGGAGAGGGTAATAGACCATTTAGGTAGGATCCAAAACCAACTTTGCCTTCCATTCTCTCTCCCACAGAGACACATAGGGTGTTTGCTCCCTGCGCACGCACAACTGGAGTTGCCAATTCCAAGATGGAATATTATTATTAAAATAGTAACTTTGAATTGGCTTTAAAAATAGATTTCAAGTCAAAAATAAAAAATTAAACTAAAATAATTTTTAAGTTAAAAAAATAAAAGGTAGGAGGAGACCTACTTTTGGTTTTTTACTTATTTATGTCATTTTAAACTTATTTTAACTCATTTTTGACATTGTCAAATATTTCCTAACTTATTTTAAGTCATTTTTTACTTTATTTAAGTTATTTTTTATATTTGTCAAAGACTTCTAAAAGTCAAAAACTGATTTAAAAATAAGTTTAACCAATTTTTAAGTCAATTTGAACACCATTTTATAACTTTGATGGATTATTTATCTCGTTACGGAGAGCCAAACTAGGAATAGTAAATCAGAATTTTTGGTATATTTTGCACTTCACGACAACCAATAGTGAAGGTGATTGAACATCTCATGTTCAATTTCAATCGAGATAAAAATATGAGGTGATTTTTTTTATGTGTTTGTATCTTAGTTAATTAAATCATCTGATACTTATAGATGTGACTACTACTTCTTCGGTTGTATTTTAACTGACTAGTCGATTTGATACTTTCTTTTCAAAACCTAAATGGAATATTTAACTTTTCCATTTTTCAATTCTTGAATTTTAAATATGCTTCAAGAAATCAAGATGTGCCTAGTCATCAAAAAGATTAAGGTTGGATATTTAAAAGAATATTATTAGTACCATTTATGTCTAAATATTATAAATGATTGTGATTCCAATAAAGTTTTAGAATAACAAAAGCAATACATTTAATTGTGTGTGTTGATATAGTTGAATGGAAGAATAGTCAGTAGCTCCACTACTTTTAGCATTAATTAAAAATTAGATATAAGATCAACAACTTTTCTCACCTATTGGTTCTTAATTGACTTTTATATCACTCAAAATTTCTTCAAAAATGATAAATAAATATGTCTCCTACTTTTCATAATATGATGAAAAAGGATAAAAATAATGGAGGAAAGAGACAACGAAAATGACTTTATTTTAATATTCCGTATATGTATTTTATATTAGAATTATAGAGATGACCTGTTGTTGGGTTATAGTATTATATGTGTATATTGTGTGGTTGTGAATATCCCAAAATAATATAAAATGACAATTGATATCATATGTGGTGGCATGCACTTTTCAAAGGTGTCCTAGCTCCCTACGTGTCCTACTTTTTTCGCTTTCGTTTGATTAATTTAAATTCGTATAATGTAAAATTTCATTTGGAGAAAACCATTCCATACTAATTCTTGCCCTTCTACTTCACTTTGCTAATTTATATTTTGATTGGAAATACTGAATTATTCACAAAAAAATTCACATATATAATAATATATATATATAACAAAGTGTGGATCTGTTCGATATTTTCTCTTTCCTGTCTTTTTGTTGAAAGTTTTTATAATATAATCGATATAGGGATCTTTTACATTATATAATTAGATTATAAAAGATTCAGACTTTTTTTTCCAGTGAGGTGCAGTCCATAATCCACAACTAACAATTCGTATTATTGGAATATACTTTGATTAAAAGAAAACACTAAGGTAATTATTTTTTATAGCGCTCCATTATTGAATCTTATAGTTCTTGATTATAATTATTTTTTAAAAAATATAGGTTGTATTCAGATTTTCAGTTTAAATATAATATATAAAATAAATTAGGTCAACCCTAATGTACATTGATTATCCTTATCTCGTCAGCAACTACTCAACTATACTGTATATCATTTATTGGTGGGCCATGTTTTTGACCAACCACATCAACGCTTCTTTTTTTCATCTACACTTAATTATATTTTAATTAAAAAAATATATACGCGTGGTATGATTAATTTAAATTTATATTGTGTATCACTTAATGAGAGAAAATTGAGTGTTTCGTGTCATTATAAGACTTAAATTTGAGATTCTTGATTAAGAATGAAAAAAATACATTTGGTCCACCATAATGTTTGGTGACGTTAAAATAGAACTTACTAGTATCTCTTATTCGTATTACCTAACTATTAAAATTTATCTTTCTCTATATATGGTAAATAACTCATTTGATACTAAATTAATTGTAATAATAGTGGTAATGTGAAAAGAAAACTAGTTGTAAATAATTTCTTAAATTTGTTAAACATCAAATATTTTAAAATGTTAAAATAACTAATATGTAGGACTGAAAATTGTATTTCTAGAAATATGATAATGCACTATTCTTTTCGATTTGATTTTACAAAATGTATAAGTAAATATAAAATGAGTGATTGTCTCTCTATCTCTTCAGATAGAAATAAAATTTACATATAATTTTTTAAATATATTTAATATATGTAGTTATTATTACTACATAAAATGAGTAATTGTTGGAGGTTTTGAGACTGACATAAGCAAAAGTTAAAGGTGAGGGAAATTATTTATTTAAAATTTAAATAGTAGGTGGAGTCTGACATGGTCATTGGCAGCCTCATTTTGTCCAAACAATATATTCTTTTTTTCAAACATTATTTAATATTTATTAATTGTTCAATTTGTTTCTCTTCTTTCTTTATAAAAAAAAATGAAAAAACTAGGAGTATTTATTTTCTTTCTATTTTTGGTTTTCAAATCAAATATATCCTCTGTTCGAGAAAAGTAAGATTGGAAGTTGTAGGCTACAATTTGTAATTTCCATTGGACCATTTTTTGTTGGGCTCGTCCTTGCTCTCTTGTTTGGAAAACTAAGAATATTTTTTGTTGGGCTCGTCCTTGCTCTCTTGTTTGGAAACTAAGAATATTTCATTATAAATTTAGTTATAATAATAATATTAACTTATAATATGTAGTCTATATAAATTCATAAATTCTGAATACGTCTTTGTAAAGAAATTATGATGCTGATATATCTTTAATGACAAATCAAACTATAATCACGCCTTAATCCCAAAATCTATTGCTATATAAATTTGAATTTACTCATCACTTATTTGTCCCATGTTCAAATTTCAAGATTGGAGTACGTACATTTGACTAACCAAAAAGTATTTATTTATAATTCACAAACTATATTCTATAATTATAAGTTGCTCAATTGTTCTATTAAATAACTCTTTGACAAAAGGGCTTTATATATTCCCCCCATAAGACCTCAAAATTCTTGATATACTTTTATTGTTTTCAAAATTAAAAGAACCGCCAAAGTGTTTCAAATCTAAACTTCATTATTCTTTCTAAGTTTTCTTCTTGCATAGAGAACACAACTGTTGCAAACATTGAAATTTTAGTAGTATGCAATATCCCCTCTTCACAATAAATAGGCCGAACCATTCTGTTTTGATTCTTTTCCACAGGTGATACAAAAAATTACCTATTAACTTTTCAATTGAAACTTCAATATAGAAGAATATCTTTGTTACCTCTTGCATCATTTTCTCGAAAAGATATTTTGATATTATATATCTTATATATCACCATAAGAGAGTTCGAATTGAGTAGTATTTACCATTCCATCATTCACACAAACCCTTCAATGACTTATCATCTCCCTTACTTGAGTAATAGTTTCACAAAAATGAAGACAAACCAGAAAAAAGAGAAATATTTGAAGTTAATTTGTTTCTTGGTGGCTAAAAAATAATAAAATTCTACCAGTACATCAAGGGTGCAAAGCTGGCTAAACACAGGAGGAGAACAACAATTGCTAGTTAACACCTCAATCTCAACTAAATTAGGATATGGCTATATGAACCCCTAACACCATCTGCTTTGCTCCATTCAAGCTAGTATGGAACAGGAGAGCAGGTAATAATATCCATGTAAGCTAAAATGCAAATCTAACATCCAAAACAGCAGCAATCAATGAGCCATACAGATCCAAGAAGAGAGGCATTATAAATCTGGCAAAGGCATTTTCAACCATCCAACATACTCATACTCAAAAGAGTATACCTAGCACCCCCAAGAGCATGACTTAGTCTCCCTTGAATGTCATTAACAAAATTAGCAGATAAGGTACTTATCAAATGACGAAATCAACTACAAATAGTTAGAACTACAACATAATGCATACTGTGCAACGGAATATCAAATCCTGATTAACCTAACAAATTGACAGTAACAAATACATTCCTTAGAGGTAGCTACACTGTCTAAGCGCGCATCTTCATCCTGTCACCAACAACTAACTCTGTCCTGAAACTTCCTTGATTTTAACGGTTGCCAGCCCTGAATAATGTTACACTCTGAGTTTAAGCACGGCCTTCATCTCTACAGCATCCCTCTTTATCAATTTTGGTGCATAGGATCTACCCCGGCCGGTCCTGCTAACTCTTCCAACTCTTGAAATGCTGCCAGAGCAGTTGCTGGTGTTTCAGCATTTAAGCATGGCCTCAGCGCATTTGCTGCCTCCCTGATTCTTGATTGCTGCCGATGTTTTCAAAATTCTTTATATCAACACAATCATATGCAGATTAAACTAAAATTTTAGTTGTTTCACAATGACTTACCATATTTTCAAGTTTTCCCTTTAGATCTTCATAAGCCACCACCAACTTGGGGTCCGAAACTGCAGGGGATGTCACATTCTAGAAACCAAAACAGTATGAAGGATTAAAATAGGAATAATTCAAATAAGAACAACTAGTTCTGCAAAACTTAAATATATGACCTGTCATTACCATTTTCCATCTAAAGCCAAAAGAGGAGCACAACAAAATTGGAAAGACAACATTCCAGGAAAAAAATTCCCATCTTCTAAGGACCACTCTCTCAAAAAGTAATATCTTATTGATGTCAAATCAACCAATTTGTATTCTGCTCATTTTGCTTGAAGCAAAGAATAGGTCATGCATACTCCCATCCCCAACTAAAAACAAGTTCAAATAAAGAATCTTGCTTCATTCAACACAAAACACATTACAGCAGAGGCTCAGCTAAAACCAGAAGACAAACTACGAGGTTTGGTCATTTATTTACCAACTTTCTACTTCTAACATATTTCTTCAGTTCATTGGCTTAATCTTTTTATTTATTGGCAAACTATATTTGAAACAATCAAAAAACATATTTCTTCAGTTCATTGTCTTAATCTTTTGATTATTGGCAAACTATATTTGAAACAATCAAAAAGGTATACTTATGGGCTAGATCTTTCTAATAATCAACCCCCCCCCCCCCCCATATTGTCTATCTTCATCATGCTTGTGCTATTTTTCCTTTGTCTCAGCAGTTATCCAATCAATACCAAGCAACAATGAAAATGGGAGCATACATCAAGGCAAATTCAAATTGTACACTTCCCCCTTAAATAGACAGATATGGAAGTAACCACCAAATACAAATTCTTGTGCTATTTTTTCCTTTGTCTCAGCAGTTATCCAATCAATACCAAGCAACAATGAAAATGGGAGCATACATCAAGGCAAATTCAAATTGTACATTTTCCCCTTAAATAGACAGATATGGAAGTAACCACCAAATACAAATGTTTGTGGTACATGATATGTGCATCAAAACTATTACTATATATAAACACAGAATATAACAGCATACTTGGATCATTAAAATACCCAATATGTTGGAGAGAAAATATTGTGACACAATATATTAGGTATTAATCATTCTCATTTCTATAATAGAAGGTTTCTATTGTTCTACTTACAATTAATATTTTTTTAACAGTAAGGAAATATTTTAAAACTAATACTTCAGTTTTTGTAATGACTAACAAATCCATAAAGCTAGCGGCACCTAGTCCAGAACATGGTGGAAATGAGCCTGTACCTCCACCCTTCTCTATCTAAATACCATGTTTTGGCATGCGTACAAAACATACATGCGCCTAACCCACACATCATGTGTTGTGCATTTACCACTGAACCAACGCCTTGGACAACTATCAAAATAGTTAATATTTATATATTATGCGTTCATTAAGTAAATAGTACCCTAAAAGTTAGGTGATTGTGCATGTCAGTAATTGTCATATATAAATAAGAAATTAAGAATATAATAACCATACTTGGTATGTGCATGTTAACTCTTACTACTTCCATCCAACTTTATATGAAACGATTCAGAGTAACTTAGAAATCCAACACAGCAACAGTGCAAGGTTCGGAACTCAGTGGATGCACAATTCAAATAGTAATAGTATCATAAAAAGTGATGCAGAGTGACTACATGATAAGTTCAGGTTAATTGTTATATCAGCTCTAATTGTTGATTGTTACAAAACATGTGTTAATTGATATATATAGAATAAGAATATAACATCATACCTAGATCTTAAAAATACCAAGTACATTAGGGAGAATATATTGTGAAAAAATTTATATTACAAGTAATAATTCCACTTCTATGTAATAGACTATTTATATTGCACTAATATATCCTATTTTACCCATAAAGGAAAAATTATAAGTAATACTCCTATTTTTAAAACCATCCAGTTAGTTAATATAAAAATATGATGTGATTGTTGAATAAAAAATTTCTCTTAAAAGTTAGATTGATTGTATTTTTACTTAAAAAGCATGCAAAATGCATATTAATGTTTGCACAATTTTATTTTTTTCCTACTACTAGTTACTATACAGGTTCATATGGAAATGTAAGGTTACCTGATTTCGGCTAAAGTCTCTTTTATAGTCTAGATAAGGTATTTGGTATATATCAAAATGTTTTATTAATTGCAAAAACTGATGACTAACTGAGATTAAAGAACACTAATTCACCATAATAGCAATTCAATAACTTGAATATCAATATAAGGCAAGTAAATGTGCTACCTTTTTAGGTCGACCCAGAGGTCTCCCTGAAAGTTTCCTGGCTCTCTTAACAGTAGAAGCAACGGCCGGACTGCTGTATGATTTTGGAGGACGTCCACGTCGCTTTCCAAGGGGCGTAGCCCCATTTGTGACACCACCAACAGTGTTAGGAAAACCCTCGGAATCAAAAGCAGCAGCAATAGGCACATCAGTGACACCGACAGATGCAGCAGCAGGTCCACCTTGATTGTTAGACTTTGCTGGCCTTCCCCGTCGTTTAGGGGTTGGTGTTTGAGCAGTAGGGTCACCACCAACAGGAATATTGGGATTACCAGCAGGAATGTTGGCCGCATTGGCACCAACATTAGCAGCCACATTCTTCCTAGGTCGGCCTCTTCGTCCAGGAGTAGAACCTTTCTTTGGCCGCCCTCTAGGCTTGGAGGAAGCGACAGCTGATCCAGGAGCAGCATTGACTGTCCCAGTCTTAGCAGGACGACCAGGTCGCCTCTTCGTACCACTCTGTTCGGGTGACTTGGTTTCCAATGACTTGACTACAGTGGAACCATCCTTCCGAGGACGACCAGCGCGTCTCTTGGTGTTACTTCCTTCAAGCGCCGGTACCGGAGTTCCAGCAGGAAGAGGAACAGAACCACCTGGATTCTGAACCCCAACAGGCCCATCAGCTAACCCAAGAGAAACAAACACAGACTCAGCCCCAAGATTCGTATAATTCTGAGCTTCATGAGGAGCAGTAAATCCCTGTGGCTGTTGCTGGGACTGAAAATGGAACTGATTTTGGAGTAACGGATCAGCCTGAAACTGTTGGAATTGTGTCTGAGGAACGAACTGAGGCTGGGTTTGAAATTGTGGCTGGAACTGGGCTTGGTGCTGCTGTTGGGCCTGAATCTGAGCACCTTGAAATGGGTCTTGATACTGGGCTTGTGGTTGGGCCTCAGGCTTCGACTTAGGAGGACGACCAGGTTTACGCTTAGTAAGAGGATTAACATCACCCCCGTTGGAATCAACGGCCGGCGGAGGCGGAGCAGATCCAGGTGCAGCAAGCAGGTAGGAGTGTTTAACCATAGCAAGATATCCAGAATTCTTCAAGCGCTTGAGATGATGAGTCAACAAAGCGGAGTGATTGGGTGGTAGATTCGAGTGGACTCGGTCTATGTACTTGGCTATAGCTACCCTGCTTGACCCTTCTTTCTCATTTAACGCCGTTATGGCCCCCGTTATCAACTGTCACACACACAAACAAAAAAATCAAAAAGAATCAACCATTAGTCAAAAAAGAAAGAACCCCACAAAATTCTCAGAGAAGATAAGTCATACCTCAGCATAATCAGGTTGGGGAGACGAGAAATCAGGGGCGAGGGTAGGTTCTTGGGGAAGGGGAGGGGGAGGGGGAGGGAGGTCATGGTTAATGAGTTGTGGAGGGTTAAACGTCGGTTGTTCTATATCCATCGGTAGATCCATGGATGGGTCCATAAGGGCATGTATATATATAAATTTAATAAAAAAGCTTTATGAAGAATACAGAAATGGTGAATTTCAGAGAAGAAATCAAGAAAAAGAAGTGAGAGATAGATAGAGAGAGAGTGTGTGTATGTATGTATAGGTAGAGAGAGAAAAAATGGAAAATTAAAGGGTTAGATGGGTATTTTGGGGGAAGAAATGGAATTGGATTGGACCGTTGTAGTAGCGGGGTGAGTGGGAGTGGGGGTGGGGTGGCGTACAATCACAGCCAAAAAAAAATGAACAGCTAAGGGTAAGATCGGATTTAAAAATGGAACTTTTGTTGAATTTAAGTTTTTATGATGAAGTATGTCCTTATCTGGCCCATTTTTTTTTTTAATTATGTTTTAGATCTGATTTTTCTGTATTTTCGTTTTCACCCCTGACTAACTTTTAATTATTTTTTATTGCTTTCTCGTGGATTCCTTACTTTATTGGCGGACTTTCAAAAATTTCGTGAAAATTTGAAATGCGTTGGAATTTCGTAAAAAAATTCAATTTCAAAATTTTCGTGAAAAATTGAAACGCGTAGGAATTTCGTAAAATTTTCAAATAATTTGCACATACTTTCACCATGTGTTTTGGCTCCAATTTTTTTCAATAATATTTGACTATTTCAAAAAATATATATTTATACTCATAAATTTTAATAATTATTAAAATACTTATAAATGTTTGGCCAGAAATTTTAAAAAACTATAATATTTTTTTATTTTAAAATAAACTGATTTTTTTTTCTAGTTAAAAGATATTGAAGTTAAAAGGATAAAAAAAAATATATAAAAATAACATAAGTAAAATACCATTCTGACCAAATTTTCTAACCAAAAAGATTTTTTCATTATCATTTTATAATGAATATGTTCAGTTAAAAAATAATTTTAGACATAATTGATAACAATCAACAACAACACAATAACAATATAGACAAGACAATACATTAATCGCATACTCAAATTTGTCACTGATTCAGTTATAATTATAACTCATTAAACAAAACTTGTTCTTTTTTCTCAATTTAATCACTCAAATTAGAACTCAAACTTTTGTGGAAGAGGTAGTAACAAATATTAGTTGGAATTAATAAATAATAGTTGTGGTGATTTTTGAATTTTTTTAAATTCCCAAATATTAGAACTTGTCCCAAATACTATAATTTTTTTCTAGTATTTAGTAACTTGAGATACTTGACAAATATATTTATCAAGTTATATGACCAAACACCATTTCTCAAAAAAAATTGAGGCCAAACGGGTCTTTAATGTGCTTCTATTTAATTTCGTAGTATTTGACACAGGTTGATTCAATAGATTTTTTCAAGAAAAATAATTAGATGCGTATTTTATTAAATTAATTTTATTATAATACTTTTGGAACCAAGAATTGTTGTTAATATACACAATTAAATAGTAGATTGAAAATAATTCCAACATGACTAATTTAGCTTAATTAATCCAGTATTTTAATATACTATATTTAGTATTATTCTTACACTATCAAACAACCTCTAAGAGTAGTATACGAAAGAAGTAATAATATTCTGCTAATATTTTAAAATGAAGAAGCAAAATAAAAATTATATTTATTCTACTATATTATAAAAGAGAGTTTAGGCCCAATTATAATATATAATATTTAAGATTGAGACTTTTCTCAATCTTGAATATTATATATTATACTTGTGGGACTTTTAAAAGGAAGTTTATACCCAACTATAATATATAATATTCAAGATTGGGACTTTCTTGAATATTATATATTATATTTATTATATAGTACAACTTGGACATAAACTCCCTTTTAAAATAATATAGAATATGTGTATATATATATATATCTCACAAATGGAAAAATCTCAATCAAGAAAGCAACATATATCATTTACAAATAACTTTAAAAACTTTAAAATATTTAAAAGTTATATAATAAAATAGGTTGGCTCTCAGAATTCTGTTAGGCTCACATATATTGGGACAGAAAAAATAACACATATCATTTTAATATTACCAAAAAAGTATTATAAATAATAATAATTAACAATTTAAAATATCTTAAAGACATTTTAAAAGGGTTAATTTTGTAATTTTATCCATATCACATAAATTAAGACAAAGTGATCAGTAATGTACATTATTTCAAAGTTACATAAAAATATTATAAATCACAATAATTAATACCTTCAAACATTTAAAAAAATATATGAAAATTTCGATGACCCTCCAAATTTCATTTGTGTCACGTAAATTGAGACAACAAAAATAACATATATTGGGTCCATTTTAATTTATTTGTCTTATTTTTTTATATTTAAAAATTGCGTAAAAATACTATAAATCATGATAATTGACAACATAAAATATGTTTTGAAAAAAAATACAAAAATGATTCTTGAAGTGAATCTATCGTAAAAATACTATAAATCATGATAATTGACAACATAAAATATTTCAAAAATGTTGTATGTGGGTAGTCTTATTATGCCTTAAATAGCGTCAAAGAAAGTACAGGTTTGTGATAAAAAAACTTATTCCTTTATCCACGCAAACAATCGCTTCAAAAACTCGGTTATTAGCCCCAAAATATACCATTTATATTATTGGGCAGGTGCATAGCACGGGCAACATTATCTAGTATATTATATATAATAAAGGAGAGTAGTTTACCGTGTGGTTAAGCCAAGTGGCAAGCTATTGAAAAGCCACTTGGCAATTTTAGGAAAAGTAATAAATATTTTAATAAAATTTTTAAAAGTAATTGAATTAGAAAATACATTAAGCTTTTTAAAATAATTTTTTTAATCATCTTTAAAATGGAAACTTAGTAGGACTCTAAATTAACTTTTACTATTTCAAATTTTCCTTTTAAGATGTTATAAAAATATTTATATATATATGATTGAATATTAATTTAAAATATAAAGATACAACAATAATACTAATAATAATTATAATTATAATAAATAGTAGTAGCAGCAGTAATAGCAATACTGATAATAATAATTTAAAAAAATCACTTGACAATTTTAGTTTTTCAGAAAAAGAATCGATTAACTTAAAAGTAGAAATTCATGACCGGATAAAAAAAAGAGCAACTTTCACACATAGCAAACACAAAATTCATATTTGTATGCTATAACAAAGTTTGTATAATTGCGCTCCATAGCAAACATATATATGTATAATTCACTATACATATAAAAAAAACAATTGTATAATTCGCTATACATATACAAAGAATGCAGTTGTATAATTCGTTATACATATACAAAAGAAAGTTGTTGTATACAAAAGATCAATTGTATAATATGTGTATGTATAAAACGAGAAAAATAGAAAGACAAAAGAAAACTGGGCAGGGAAATATTTGTATTGTATAATTATATAGAACGAAGATATATGTATTTGCATGTGTATATATAATTTTCTCTCGCTTTATACAACCAGAAGCGCAATTTATACATTTCATTTCTGTTTGTATAAGCGACAGAGGCGAGGGTGGCGAGCGAAATTTGGGAGTGTGGTGAGCGAGATCTGGGAGAGGGGAACGGAAATATATGTATATATACAATTTTCTCTCGCTTTATACAAACACAAACACATTTTATACATTTGTGTTTGTATAAAAGCGAGAGAGGCGAGCAAGACTGCCACCAAACGAGAGTGGTGAGCGAGATTCCACCAGGGAGAGTGGCGAAAATAGCAATAGTTTGCTATAGAGTACAATTAAATCAAAGTATATTTATAGCATTTAATTTGAATTAATAGTTTGCTATTATATACAATTTTTCCTTTTTTTTTTTGTTATAACAAGCAAAGTTTTGAATTATGTATACCATATAACTAAAATTTCAATAAATAAGGACACATTAAAAGATAAAAATCTAGATAACAAAAATTTAAACTTAATATATTGAAAAAAAAAACTCAACTTCTTATGACATGTAGCATAAAAAATCAATTAATGTCAGACTAGCGAAAAATAAATAATAAACAGTAGAAGAAAAAAATACAGGAAGGTGTGGGGGAGAGTACTTTGAACAAATTTAAAGAATATAATGAAGTAGCTAGATAAAATACATATTATTGTCCATACATTTTTAATTGAAAAAGTGTAAACAATATAATAAATAATCTAAAAGTAAAATCTCACCAATAAACAAAATAAATTTATCTATTTAATATTAATAAGAAGATAATTTGATAATTATATTAAACAGGTGATAAGTCAATAAAAATCAATATTAACACTTTAATAATTTTAAATATTGATCAATATAATAAAGAAAAATATGAAACAATAAAATTAAAATTATCTTCACATGATTTGTTGTCTCTATTCATATAGAAATGATTGGGGTATGAGAGTATATTTTATTGATGAACAATACGATAGTTGGACTTTTGTAAGGTAATATAATTTAACATGCTCGGAAAAAAATCATAATCTAAATTGATTAGAAATAATAGTATATGTGTATCGCGTGAATACGTATACTAATACTTTTAATATAAGAATCAAGTAAAATAAAACGGAGAGAGTATTTACTCTATTGCAATTTACTTAATTCACATTTGACTTGAGATTTTTCTCCAAAAAGTATTTTCTTAGAGATTTATTTTACTAAGTTGAATTATATTTTGAAAATCTTAGTTTGTCTATTAATATTTTATATCTAGTCATTTAACAATAAAGATAAAATGGGAGAAAATAATAAATTTTATGTTTTTCTTACATAGTCAAATAAAAAATAGAAATTTCTAATTTTATTTAAGGGACAAAGAAAAATCTTCAATTCTTTTTTATAGGAATATATAGGAAAGTTTCACTTTGACCCCTAATGGAACGTAACGTGAATACAGATAATAGGACAATGAAAATGGAGAATTGTGGGACCCAACCTTTTACACTTGCACTTATATGTGGCAAAACAATTTTTTTTTTTTATAAGTAACTCTTTTTCATGTGCTTGTATAAAATTTAAGTTTAAGTTAAAACATTTTTATCAATTTCAATTCAAATATTAAACTTGTATACTTGGTTATTGGAAA